ACCCCAAAAACAAGAAAACAGAAAACAAAAATATAAAACTGGAGGGTAGAAGCAGAACAAGGACCGAAAATTGCACGAACATTTTTATTTTGAAAATTGTGTATTTTAAATTTTTTGCACACTTGCCGTTTTGTTTAATTTTGCACACGTCGAGACGAGTGGGTGAGTTTTTATTTATTTATTTATTTTTTTTTTATATTTTGAGGGTGCTGGCGATGTGTGTGCGCTTGTGTGAGTCGTACATAATTTATGGCACGCAAGGAGGGGAAACCAGAAATTAGGCAAAATAAGTGTGGTCGAAGTTGTACTACCCTTAACTTTTAAAGAAAGGTTTCGCTTAAAATTAACTTTTTCCATTTTTAATACATTCACTCCACGAAGGAGTGCAAAAATTTAAGTTCAAAGACAGCCTTTTTTCTGGCTTTCTGAAAGATATATTAACTGCGAAACTACGAAAGCAATAAAGACAGCTAAGTTTAGGTTTCTAAATGGATCTTTGGGGACTAAGAACACATCCCTTCCTAGCCTTCATAAGTAAACCAACAGCTCATCCCATTTGGGTTTCAGGGGATATTGATATGTCAACTGGATGACAGTATGACATACCCTTCGAAAGGGCATCAATATGATTGCCTTGTACTTGGGCTTGTAAACCGAGTGGAATGAGTTTCCAGCTTTTTTGCTTGGGTGCGGGGGCTGCTAGACGAACGCCATTGTTGCCGGCTGGCAGTCTGGCCTAGTCCTGGCTCCTCTGGCCACCCCACACCCCCAGCCCTAATCCATCCAGTTTTCCGGCGAAAAATGTATGTCAAATGCGGCAGCGATGAGATGTGCGTGGGTGTTTCGCCGGCGGGTGAGATTGGTGCGATGTGGCCAGCAGTTGGGCTCAATACAAAAGCAGTTGACAGTTGCAGCCCGAAAGTTGTCAGCTGCCTCGCAGCGGCTAATTAAAGGGTCCAATCATAAATTACATGCGCTGAACCTCGACCTTGGAGAGGCACAGGCTGCCTGTCGTCTGCCCGCTTGTCTGATAAGTGATAAGACCAACTGGCGCCAAATGTCTTCCGCCTAAGAGCCGGCCAGAGGCGACAATGATAAGAACAATTTGTGAGGCTGTTGTTTTGTGGCACTACTATGTGCTGGATGTGTATACAAAGGCAATTTTCGGTTTTCGGTGGCTGACACATTGGCCATAAAAGGGATCAGGACCCGCCTGCTCGCATATGGCGGTAAATTGTTTTCCCTTATTTCTCAATATTTTCCCAGAGTTTTCCTCCACATCTGCAATTGCAGGGCCGAACGCCTTTTGTTATAGTTCGAGCATGGTGTGTTGATGTTTGCCCAATGATAGGGGCGTTGGGTGCTAAAATTTCTGGCCGATACTGGCCACGGGTTAATGTGGGGTCTTGGGCTTCGATTTGCACTTGAATTGGAGGACTGTTGACTGCCAGAGCTTCCTGCGGCCACTGATAAGGCGTGAATCAGAGGGCTTGTTGAATCTGGCGAACCCTTTGTGTGTCTCATATGCTGGCTATCAATGCGAAGGCCTTTTGCCAGCAACAATAACAGAGAATTTGTTTTATTTTGTTTCGCTTCGTTTCGCCCTCGAAAAACCCCGTCCATATATGCATGTTAATCATCCATTCAAACAGTTTTCAGCTCATATAACATCACGAAAGAACGCGTTCTCAGGGTGTGGATTGTGTGCCTGTGCCTGGGCCTGGGAATCGAATGCACTTTGAAGAGCCCATTCCAAACAGTGGCACCCCTTCATCCGCTCCAAAGGCCTGGGCTCTTCCTTGGGTTATATGCACATACAAGTATGTTTCACACTGTCTGATGGCAAGCCCAAAAATGAAATCAATTTACACACCCCACTGCGTCGTGTCCGCCTTTTGTGTAAGAAGATCTTAGCGCCTAAGTGCATCAATTGACGCGCTTTTCAGACGCAAAGTTCCCCCAATTGCATTAAACAAATTGAAAATGCTTCAAGAGCAAGTGCGAGGTGGCTGGGCTGGAGAAAGTAGTCTCCGTTTGGGGGAGAAATTCTATTTGGTGGCAACTTTTCGTTGCCCGTGACACTTTGTAATTGAAATCTGCGGTCGCCAGACCCGAATATAAATATAGAAAAATTAATAAGCCAAATAAAATGTCTACTAGTCGATGGACTGATCCCGGCGAAAGCAATTTATCAAGTGGCAAGTGGAAAGTGGGAGTGGCAAGTGGCAAGTGGGTAGGGGAAACGGAATTCAAAAGAAATTAAATATATGTAAGTATGTACAAATGCTGGGAGGTCTGAGTCAGAGCGAGATAGGCCCAAACAGGATGGAACTCGGAAGTGGAGGAGGCTGTAGGCTATAGTATAGGCCTCCAATGATAATGATTGATGGCCCAGCAGGCTGGAGGAATTTTGTTGTTGCGCTGCTGGCTGTTGATAAAATAAGAATAAGAATAAGAAGAATAACTTGACTTTTTATATTTATACACATTTCAAAAGAAGATGAAAGCAAGAATGGGATTTCTTCCAGCTCAGATAAGCTCACTTCTCCTCTGTTCTTATCGAGCTCTGAGTACGGAAAACAGAAACTCGAAATAAATATGAAATACTAATGAGTATAAGGGGCTCTCCCATGTGGGAGCTGATAAATGTGTCATGCCGAAGGAGTGGGTCCTAAAGATTCGCGCCTCATTTGAGGGGCCTTTCCTTTTCGTTTCGAGGGGTTCAAGGTTAACTGTCGCTAAATGACTCAGCCAAAGATACATTCTGATATACTTGATATACTCAAAGCCCTGATGGTTATTATGACAAATTGATTACATGTAATTCTCTGTCTGTCTGTCTGTCTGTCTGTCGGCTCCTTTGATTAGGTGCCAGCTGAGGAGACGCGGCGAGCTGCTTCCGAAAATTTGTCTTATTTCTGCTGATTTATATCTTGGCCAGCATAGTTTGTCCGCCCCACGCTTTCAGTGTTTGTGCGAGTCTGTCGCTTTTATTTGATTTCGGCTAAGATGATTTCGCCTTAATGCATTGAATCGGGCCAAACAGGAAACCTTTGAAGCAGCTTCCCAGCTACCCAAAGATTCTTTCTCGTATATTTTCCTGCTTGGGGCCAATTGGGTGAAGTGGAAGTTGCTGCGGAAGAGATGGCCAATATATATATGTACACAGTTATAAATTAAATTTTTCATTCTACTTACATTCGACTGACTCCCTCCCTCCATTTTTGGATGTATGTGTGTTTTTATTTACGGTAAATTTCATTTCGATTTCTTTTCCAATTTCTTACGTTCTCATTCTTTTTTTTTTTTTTTTTTGGCTGAATCGGCTGTCTGCACTCCTTGAGAGACGGCCAACGACTTCGATACCAACTGAATGGCCAATCAATAACATTGGCCAAGACATGCAGCCCCTCCCGACAAAAAAACGAGATTTTCCTCCGCCGCCCGGGTTTCTCTCCTTTGCCCCCGGTTTTCAAACACTCTAAACACCAATTGATGTTTATATGATAATGATTAATGACTACGTTACTTTTACACAGATTGCTTTCCGAATGGCTTCAGTGCTCCAAACACACGCTTGTGTGTGTGCTGTATATTGGAAAGCCTATTTATTTATAGGCCCAATACAAAGGGCCATTTTCCTTCGCCTGGCGCCTAGAGTTTGGGTTTTTCCGCCCGCTTTCCCCTCCTCGCTCACAGCTTTTGACAGAGTTTTAGTTGCGTTTAGCTTAAGTTTTTCCCTCGTATTCTATTTGGGCCATGTTGAGCGGCGCGTCTCATTACCAGACATTCATCAATTGTTGGCAATTTGTTTGCGAGTAACCGAGGCGCCTTGTCTCTGTCAGTTTCCCGTTCTTGGTTACTCGACTTGAAAAGGATGTGCAGGGCGTGAGCTTGCTAGTACAAAAAACAGGGTATCAAAGTGGGTATCTGGCCTAGAAGACATTTTTACAGTCAGAAAAGGAAGTGAAGGGTGTGAGCTGACTAGTAAAAAACAGGAATTTGCGCCATGAACTTAAAGTTGTAAAGTTTTCCCTTGAGAGTATTACTTGGTCGAGTTCGAGCAGCGTAGACTTTTCCGCTGCCTTTTTTATATTCTCTTCGCTTGCCTGGTCAACTTGTAACTGTTACTAATGATGACAACTTATTTTGGCCTAAATGCTCGGCCAACACTTTTATTGGTTTTTGTAATTAATGATGCTGGCCGAAAAGTGCGGAAATGACTTTGTGGTTTGCTCGAGGTGTTTGGACACACCTCCGCCCAGCTGCTGCCCTCAAAGAGGAAAAGTTGATTTCGGTTGGATTGGAGCTAAGTTGCCATTAATCAAATGCACTGATTAGAGACTTGCAGCGCGGCGACTGGAAGTGTACGGATGCAAAGGGCAGAGGTCCTGCCTTCGAGTTCCATGGGCTGTCGTCCGATTGTCACAGATGTCAGTTGAGCGGCACAAATTACACTCGTGGCAATTAAATTAGGCAAGCAATTAGGCCAACGGGCGGGTGCCGCACACAGAAAAAAAAAGCAAACCAAAAAGAAAGGGTTGCACATCGGGAATATCGATGAGCTCAAATTAATCAAAGGCGAAAGTAATCATTGAGTCGACATGGCCAAATGGAATGTCAGCCCAAATGGGGCGTGGCACATGCTGTCCACGTTAATTGGGCGCCGTGTTCCTTCGTCTACCACTTTCTGTTATCCGCGCTTTCTTTGTCCTTAACTTCGTTTTGGCTGTTGCGCCTTTTTACAATTTCATTTGTAATTTATCATTGTTTGCCCTCGCTCTCGGCTCCTTGCCACTTGCCTCTTGCCACTCGAATGTTGGGCCAAAGGGTTCACCCCATCTGATTCACTTTGCTTTAGCATTTAAATATTTTATTGAGTGCCTCAAATTGTTAATTGTTTTTTGATGGGTCGCGGGCGCGGGCGCGGGCTAAAAGGATCTCCCTCGAGCCAAATCGATTCTAATTAGGCACTGTGCGTGGCAATATCCATATCAGAAATGGCCCGATCCTTCCACACCGTTCTCCTACGGGTTGCTAACACAGTTAGCCAACCCTTTTGCGAGTTGTCAATTGGGCTAATTTGGGCCTTCGCTTTATGCATGCCTGATGTGGATGCGCTCCTTGGTGGCTTATCCCTGTGGCACCCACGCCGCCTCGTCCTTTTTCGTCCTTGTCCTTGTCCCTGTCGCCGGCGCAACACATCAAAGAACGGCTGCTGGCCGCCAGACAGGTGAGAATGAAATGGAACTTGATCAAAGGACAACACGCAGGCGGCTAACTTTTTGGCCGAAAGGCGCGCAGCACTCGAAGAATTCCTAATGAAGTCACGATGACGTTTCAGCTTTGGCTGGCTGGAGGAGAAACGAAATATGTTTGGGGTTTTGCCGCGCTGACAGCTTTTAATAAAAGTTGCTCCCCCTTTTTTTTTATTTTTTTTTGGGGATTTTCATTTTGATTTTCCAGACGCAAGCGTCGCTACTTGAGGCCCGCCTGTGTGTGTTTGGGACTTCTGGGACTTGTGGGGGTTTTGGGGCTTTGGGGCAACCCTTTTTACGGCTGTCTAGCCACCAAATTTTGACCTTCTTCATGTGACATATTTTTAAGTAAGTTGTCAAATTATTTTCACTGTTCCGCACAGCAGGCCAAATGAAATTATGTTTTACCCTTGCGGTTTTTTCCGCATTCCTACGCTTTGTTTGCGCGGGAAATGGGAAAAGTCAAATGCTGATGAGGACAAAGGCTAATAACGAAAACCTTTCTGTAATCGAATACCCAAAACAAAAAAATCGAGGAGAAACGAGCAAAGAAGTGACGAAGCGAAACGGAAAGACAACTCACCCTCGTTGAAATTTGAGTCCTGTGAAGGCAAAGATCAAACTAAAACTGCACTCTAGTCACTTCAGCATTTGATCCCACTGAATCGGTTTTTTATAGTTCTTTGTTTACTTATCTGTGCACATTGGAAAAATGAAGGAAAACAGCCACTAATTACGATCTTTTCTCTCGTCCCATTGCAGGTAATTCACTCAGACCATAATCTCCACCAGAATGATGCACAACTTCAGGAAAACGGCGAGGGTGAATATAACCAGAATCAGGGTTCTGCTGGGCCGCTCGAATCCCTCATCTTGATTGCCACACTCCTGATTGTCCCACAACATTTTCCAGGGTTTTTTTTTGGTTTTGTAGGGCTTTCCAATGATTTCAGCTACGATTAGAGTTTCTGAGTTGTGCGTCAGAGAGATTTTCACCACTCAAAGTGTGAAATGCGTTGCCAAACACAAAGGCCAAGAGCGGCGTCAGCAGTGAAAGCCGGCAAACAAAAGATCCATTTGAATGCACATTTGCGCCAGCTGCATTTTCAAACGCCCCGGGCCGACATTGAAATTTTCACACATCCTCTGGACGGACCACCAAATTATGGGGCCCGCTGCCCAAAACCGCCGGACGGACAGTCAGTCAGTCGGCATTGAATACCTGTAAGCTGCTGTTTGGTCATTGGCCAACAGCGGCAAAGGGTTAGGCAGGTACAAATCCGTGGCCAAGCGCGGCTTGTGCAGTGGTTTCTGTTGGTTTTCTCGCACTAAGCCACGTTGAGCTCGACTTGGCCTAAACAGCCGTCAAGCCCCCCACTTCGCTCGTTTTAGCCTTGGTGCTTGCTTAGTCTTTTTCGTGTTGATGTTAAGTGTTTTTCTTTCGGTTTTGTGTGTCGTGTCGTGTCGTGTTGCCTCAATTTGTGTTTGGCTAATGAAAATACCGCCGCGAAACAGACAAGCAAGCAGCAAACGATTTACGATATTCGGGCCAGGCATTTTCACTTGCCGCAACGACCGCCGTACATTCCACAGCAAATGACTTCATTGTGCATGGGACTCGCACTCGCAGTAGCTGGCGAGCTATAAATTCGCCCAGACCGCAAGACAATGGGCGCCCAGAGCTGAGATCTCGCCACTGAATCCCACTGCCGGGCTTGCAACGTTCGCTCATGCAACTGCCACAATTGCTGCGACTACTGCGATGCTGATGATGATGATGCTGATGATGCTGATGCGTTCGTAATGGAATTCAATGCCTTTAATGTGCATTTTCGCATTTACATAATCGATGGAGGGCAGGCACAGCAGTGGTGGGGGAAAAAACTACAAAATATGAGCTCGCACGCAAATTAAGCAGCTAGGACAAATAGTAGTAGTAGCAGTAGTAGTAGTAGTAATAGTAGTAGTAGCAGCATGCCAACTCAATTTGCCAGCCATCTTACTGCAAATTTGCAGTTGCTGTTGTTTATGCGCTTAGATTGTGTCCGTGTGTGCAGGTCTTGATTTAAGATACTTGCTTAATGTGTAATTTAGTGCATTTAGATAAGTTGCATAGTGAATTTTTGATGTGTGTGCTGCTGCCGTTCTGTGGCTGCGCTCCACACATCAGCAAAGGGAATTTAATGCATTGTCTTGCATCTCTGCATTTTGCATTCTGTGTCTGCCTGCTGCTGGAGCTGGTGCTGATAATGCTTTTGTTTATTTAACGGCGCTAAGTGCATTGGTTGCATTTGCATAAATCGCTCGGTGGTTGGCGAGGTGGATTCAACGCCATCGCAAGCTGGAGGGAGCGCAGACTGGTGGGGGTAAGTGGTGCAGGAGTGGGCAGAGTGGCAGCCCGACGCATTAAACAATTTGTGGCATTTAACAGTCGTTATAATATTGAAAAAAGCGCTCGCCGTTAACCCATGGCAATGACTATAAGCTGTAGCTGCAAACTTTTACTTGGCGCCCAACCAGGGGCTTTTGCAAGTTCAGCATTTTGAAAGCCTTCATTTTGTTCTAAATATAAATAATTAAGGCTTATCTTTGTTTATAAATTTCATACTTTCCGTACTGACTTTCCGCACTAGTTTCGGTCACACATGGGTTAAATCGAGGCTATCGATAGCCTGTGTCAGCAACAAGGGTATCAGTGTTTTAATGCGTTTGCCGCGCTGCATGTGTGAGCGTTAATCACAAAAGCCAATATGCAGCTGAAAGCCGTTTGTTAATGCGTTATGCATTGCCACACTCCACACTCCACATTCCACACACAGCACCCCACCACCATGCCACCATGCCACCAGCATCGTGGCTTTTTCCAGCGCTTCACACCCATTGTCAGGGCATTAAATCCCGCAGAAAATTCCTTTCTGGCCGGCCAGGCTGTGTGATAAATTACACAACGGCACAGGCGATCGCCAGCGACTCTCATTTAATAAATAAAAATTCCATTATGGACACACTCAATGCCGGCCTCAAGCTCCATCAAATAACAAAGGAACGCTTGCTGTCCGTGTTGTGTGTGTAATAAATGACGTTGCACCTCCCGGTGCCAAGTGGCTGCCTCGTGGCGCTCCAAAACTTCGCTTGGTCTAACGTTGCAGGGAGGACGACAAGCTTGTCAATTGGCAAAACATTTTCACATAAATATACGTTTTTTTTTGGCAAAAGCAGCACTGGCGCCATTGACAAAACGCCCACAATGTGCCTGCCTGGCGTTGCATCATCGAACTGCAGCGGACATGCAACAATTGCGGCCGTGCAACATCAATGGAAAAAACATTCCTGTTTTTGTTAGCCGCCGTGCTGCTGCCGCCGCAACACGCTGTAATTAACCCGTTTGTCATGCAAATAAATCAAAAGTAACATACCTCATACCCGCCGGCGGCCCGGAAAATGGTGTTAAATGCAATTGCGACTGCATTTTGAGTGCATTTTCCGTGTTTTACGAGTGCAATGAGAAATCTCATTTGCAACCACTTGATGGCCGGGCATGTGAGATTTTCGCATTTTGAAAGATTCCGATTTTTCGCGCTGCCGTTTTGGCAGGCAACCAACAATTCGCGCACACCCCAAAATCGGCATGAGGCAAAAATTAATTGCAACAAAATGCGTTAAATGCCTGCTGCATGCATCATGTGTTGGGCCTTCGTTTATTTATTTGGCTCTTCTCGCCAGCCGGAAAAACGTGCTGGGCATCGTTCATCTCGATCTCGATCCGTCGATCCGTCGATCGAGTGCAATTTAATGCCTCAATTTTCACCAATTTCATCTATTTCGATGGCTGCCACGAATGCTACGTGCGTGCCCCAAAATAGCCGTGTAAAAGCATGGTGTGTGCTTTTCTTGTACTTTCTATACGAATTGTTTTTTTTAGTTCAGTTTTTTTGTTGTTTTTTTGGTTTTTTGTTTTTTTGTTTTGTGTTGTTTCTGTTTTCGTTTTGCGGTTGCTCGGTTGTTGTATTTTTGGCTTCCTTCGTGCGTTTTTGGCCCAAAGACAAGTTCCGCCTGCGCCAATTTTGGCCTAAATGGCAATGAACTTGAACGCCGTCGCGTGGAAGTTTGTTGGCGCCCTGCGATTTGATTTTGGATTTCGTTTTCTTTTTCTTCTGCTGTCGCTTTTATTTCTTCTTCTGTTTATCTTTGTCGCTTAGCGTTCTGTTTTTGGTCACGCGATGCCGTCAGGCGTATCAATTAGCCCCCAAAAAATGTGTTATTAAAATTGGGATTGAGTGACGTGAAAGGTTTGAGTGGATGGCCGAAAAATATACATTCATTTGCTGCAAAATGGGTCAAAACTGAAGGCTTATTTGCGGGGCAATCAAACCATAAAACATGCAACTATACACGCAACATGGGAACATAACTGCGGCCATGTATCTCACCGTTCTCACCTGATAAGAGTGACGAAGACATTTGCGTCGCGCTGACAGAGCAGCCAACAAAAAGTTGGCGAAAATGTGGGCAAAAATGAGAAGGAGTTGATGTATGGCGGTGGGCGGCAGCGGAGTTGGGGGCGTGACAGCGTGAAGTGTAGCGTAATAAAATGCACACAATTTACGCAATTTACGTAAAGCTAAAAAACATAACAGGCAAACAAGGACAATAAAGGGCGTTGGGGGGCGGGGTGCTATTGGGCGGGTAGAAGAAACAAGGACGAAGGACGAGGCGCACGGGCACTTAGCGCAGCTCACACACACACACACACACGCTTCTAGCGCTGGTGGCGCCTCTAAATACAGTTGCTGCAGCAGCTCCTTGCTGTTCAAACAGTTTTCCACGCGTTTTTCGCACTTTAACAGCCGCCATTTTGCAGGCATCCGTTGTTGTTGTTGCATTTGCCGGCTTTACGCTGTCATTTTCATGTTTCTTGTTGCTGCCGCTGAAATGTTTCTCTATTTGCCAGCCAGTGTTGTTTTGTTTCATTTTCGTTGCCGCTCTTCTTTTTTTATAGTCCTTTGGTGGTTCTTCTTTTTTTGCTGTACATTTTCTTTTTAGCCAGCATGTTTCGAAATTCAATTTTCGTCAAGTTGGCAACAGGCACACGAAGACAGCCAGTTGACGTGGGTGGGCCTGGAGTGGCTGCTTTTGTTGCTGCCTCCGCTGCTGCTGCTGCCTCCTCCACTTGCGACAAGAGCAACATTTGTCTATGTCGAGCTGCGACGACATGCAATAACTTTAACTGATTTTTCGCACACACGAGCGAGGACGATGCCTGTAGAGTATTTATAATTCTATTTATGTTTCAATATAGGGAGTCCTGCCAGAGCCTGGGAAACTGGCCACACACGACGTTGCACAGCACTCGAAAAAGTTCACCCGTCAGGCTTAATGATAAAGTGAAAGTTTTTCCAGTTGCAACGCTTTCGGGGCTCAGAGGGCCTTGCTTTTCTTCTGCCGTCTTGTTGCACATTGGCTTTGCATGCGACACACAGTTGTGAAGGCGGCGAAGGACCAAACGAGCAGGAAGCAAGAAAGGCTCGGCTTTTGGACGGCTGGTTGGTTGGTTGGCTGGTTGGCTGGTTGGCTGGTTGGCTGGTTGGCTGGCTGGTCTGGCATGAAATCAAGTTGACTTTTCATTAACAGCTCAACAATGCCTTGGGTTTTCGGTTTGCTTTGGCTCGGCTTGGCAAGCCAAGTTAAGTTGTTTTTACTGCCTGTCATAGCGGTACTTAAAAAGCACATCCTCGCACACATGCTCACATGCGGGCTGCGGCAAAAGTTGTCCCGCATTAAGCCGCACATCCTCCGCATTTAGTTGCCACACCCCCCACCCAGCCGCCACTGCCACAACAGCAATTAATGCGATTTGCTCAACGCTTTCCATGTTAACTACTTGAAAGAAAACACACTTATCGCTG